CTGCATTAGTAATACTTGTTGTTTTTTAATTTATGGATGATTGGTATTTCATGGTGGTGTCCACTTGCATTTCTTGATGATGAATGAGTTAAACTGGTTTAATATGTCTATTGCACATCTTTACATCCTACACCCATTTTCAATCATATTGTTTGTCTTTTTGGTGTAAACTTGTGTGAGTTCCTTATATATTTTGGGCCTTTAGCTTTTGAGGATGTAGCTTTGCTGGTTTTTTGTTGTTATTTTGTGGTTTCTTTTGATATGTCAAAATTATTCTTTTGTAGTCTTATTTCTTTATTTTTGGGGTTCTTTTTATGCCTAGGAAGATATATGCAAACCTGTATTTTAAAGAGTGATGGTAAAGTTCCTTGACTATGCTTTCTTCCAGTGTTTTCATGGTTTCAGGTGTCATATTTTTGTTGTTAATACATGCTGAGTTCAATTTGGTTCCCGGCCTGTGAACGGGGTCTAGTTTTAGTATTTTTGCATGTATCTGTTTCGTTTTTGTTTAACTACTTGAACAACTGAATAATCGGTTTTTACCTATTGTGTGTTCTTGCCTTCTGTCTTACAGATAAGTTAACCATATAGGCTTAGACATTTTTAAAGTTGTGTTACTTTTTTTTTTTCATGTTGATTTTTAAAAGGTGTTTATATATTCTGGATATTTACTACTTATCTGATAATATGCTTTGGAGACATTTTTTCCCATTTCACAGCTTGTATTTTTTTAAAAATATATATTTTATTGATTTTTTCACAGAGAGGAAGGGAGAGGGATAGAGAGTTAGAAACGTTGATGAGAGATAACATTAATCAGCTGCCTCCTGCACACTCCACACTGGGGATGTGCCCATAACGAAGGTACATGCCCTTGACCGGAATCGAACCTGGGACCTCTGGGTCCGCAGGCCGACGCTCTATCCACTGAGCCAAACCAGTTAGGGCCACAGCTTGTATTTTTAACACACTGACCATTTGCTTTAATGTGAATAATACTTTTATACAGGGTATAATGCCTTTTAAATATTTTGTTTTGTTTACCTTTCATTTTGGTGTTAAAATTTAAAAAAAATCAAATGTCATAAAAACTTTTCTTGCCGAAACCGGTTTGGCTCAGTGGATAGAGCGTCGGCCTGCAGACTGAAAGGTCCCAGGTTCGATTCCGGTCAAGGGCATGTACCTGGGTTGCGGGCACATCCCCAGTGGGAGATGTGCAGGAGGCAGCTGATCAATGTTTCTCTCTCATCGATGTTTCTAACTCTCTATCTCTCTCCCTTCCTCTCTGTAAAAAATCAATAAAATATATTTTAAAAAAAACAAACAAACAAAAAAACTTTTCTTTATGCCTAGACAGATTTGCTTAGTGGATAGACTATACCTGCGGACTGAATGTTCCTGGGTTTGATTCTGATCAAGGGCAGTTGAGCAGGTTGCAGGCTCCCATCCCCAGTAGGGACCATGCAGGAGGCAGCCAACCAATGAATCTCTCTTAATGTTTCTATCTCTCTCTCCATCTCTCTTCCTCTCTGAAATCAATAAAAATATATTAAAAATAAAACAAAAACTTTTCTATAACTTTTCTTTTAATAGATTGAGTTATTATTAGCTTTATGTTTCAGTCTTTTATCCATTTTGGTTTAGCATTTGTATATGGTGTTTAATAACAATCCAACTTCACTCATTCTTTTACATGTAGACATCTCGGTATCTCAACCCTATTTGTATATGTGAGAATATCCTTTATTTCTTTTGTGGTATAAGCACCCTGTAGAGGATTATTTTACCTCATGCATGGGAAGTTGTAAGTAGGCTCTTTATCCTACAGTGCTCCTTTTTTGTAGTTGTTGTTAATCCTCACATGGGGACATTCTTTCCATTGCTTTTCAGAGAGAGTGGAATGTTGGTTGCAAGGAGCGGAGGAAGAGAGGAAACATCAATGTGAGAGATACATCGACTGGCCCCCTTTTGCATGTGCCTTAACCCAAGTGGGGTGGGAATTTGCAAGTGAGCTATGTGCCCTTTATGGGGAATTGAACCTGCAACTCTTAAGTGTACATGATGATGCTCATGTTAGCCTTGGGTACTCGTGACAGCTTATACTGTTAGCATTCCAATTTAAGGTCATTGCATGTGTAGTTCATTTATTGAGTTCTTCTTTAATTACAGCCAGCTCTATATATTCTGTTTCTATTGATTTTAGAGGAAGAGTGTAACAGAGAGAGAGAGAGACACATTTATTTCCCCACTTATTTATGCATTCATTGGTGACTTTTTAAATGTGCCCTGAGCAAGGATCAAAGCTGCAATGTTTTGGTATCAAGATCACACTCTAAACAACTGACCTACTTAGGCAAGGTGAGAATATTTTTTTCTTGTGGTATTGGCACTTTTGTTGAATGTTTAGGTCACTTTGGGTACTAATGACTGCTGATACTCTTAGCTTTTTAAAGTAGGATCCCAGCACTGTTTTATACTTGATAGCATACAAATCGTGCACCTTCTTAGGAAGTAAACTGTTAATATCTCATTTACAATTATGCTGTTATTCATGTATTTATATACTTAATTTGCTATTTTGTATCAGTTTCTGTTACCTTACAAGAACACAGCTAAGTTCATTGGGTGGTTTTATATACCATGTTTTGAGCAATTAATTATATATATCTACATTTTTAGAAATGTGGAGTCTGTGATTTGCAATATAGAATTCTGTCATCTATTAGCAGAGATCATTTCATTTACTTTGTATTTTTCCTGAAACCATGGGAACTACTTAAAATATCTTAAGCTTATAACCATGTAGCTTAAACTCCTAGTTCCAGTTGCATACAAAAACTCTGCTAATTGCCTTTCTATCCATGTACCCATATAAGTTGATATCACATTATCTTTAACTAGAGGCCTAGTGCACAAAATTCATGAACTGCTTGGGTCCCTAGCAGCTGCTGGCCGCCAGCTTGGTCCTCCCTTCCCCGGCTGCTGCCACAGACTTCCTTTCATTCCGCACAAACCCCTGGTAATCAGTGCATGTCATAGCAAGCAAAGGAAGTCCTTGTTGGTAGAACTCCCGAGGGGAAACTTTCCAAATTAGACTTTCATATATATATGAGGTCTGGTGCATGAGATTTGTGCATGGGGGGAGTCCCTTCAGCCCAGCCTGCACCTTTTCCAATCCAGGACCCCTCGGGGGATGTCCGACTCATAATCCTGGACCATTGGCTCCTAATTGCTCACCTGCCTGCCAGCCAGGTCGCCCCTAACTGCCCCCCTTCCCGCCAACCTGATCGTCCCTCACTGCGTCTGTGTGCCTGCCTGATTGCCCCGAAATGCCCCTCCTGCAGGCCTGGCCGCACCTAACTGCCCCCCGCTGCCAGCCAGGTCGCCCCCAACTGTCCCCTCCCTGCCGGCCTGGTTGCTTGTAACTGACCCTTCTTCTGGCATGATCATCCCTTACTGCCCCGCCTGCCAGCCTGGTCACCCCAACTGTCCCCCCTGCCAGCCTGGTTGCCCCTAACCGCCCCTCCTGGCGACCTGGTCCCCCCTCACCGTCCCCCCACTGGCCTGGTTGTCCCACACAGCCTGCTTGTTCAGTTATTTAGTCATCCCTTCCTAGCCTGCTGCCAGCCTGGTTGTAGGCAGCCATCTTGTGAGGGCATGAGGATTAATTTGCATATGACTTCTTTATTATATAGGGTATATAGATATTGTGTGTCTTATTTCAGAGATTTAAGATTTTATTCCTTTTATTTATTTTTTATTTTTTAAAAATACATTTGTATTTTACAGAAGGATGGGGGGAAGAGAGAGAATCATCGAAGATGAGAGGGAATCATTGATCAGCCACCCCTCACTGGGAAACAAGCCCGCAACACTGGCATGTGCCCTGACTGGGAATTAAACTGTGACCTCCTGGTTCATAGGTAGTAGACCCTTAACCACTGAGCCATGCCACTCAGACTATTCCTTTTATTTTCTAAAGTTCAACATGAGAAAACAAAGTGATAACTGTTTCTTTATTAGAACACCACAAATTTTGATATTTCTGTATACTTTTCCATAGACAAGGCATCTTGATATATTCACTAGAGGCCCAGCGCGTGAAATCGTGCGAGACGCAGAGTCCCGCCACTGCTTTTGGGGGACCCAGAGTCCCTCCCGCCACCACTGCGGGACCCATCAATGCACTTCCTGGTGACTGGTCATTTGGTCTTTCTAGCGTTATAGCCCCTGGCTTTTTATAATATAGACTAGAGGCCTGTTGCACGAAGAGATTCGTGCAATAGGCCTTCCGTTCCTCTGGCTGCTGGCACCGGTTTTCCTCCAACCCCTCAGACCCAGATCTTCGTTCTGGATAGCCTCTGGCCAGAGCCATCAGGTTTGGCAGCTCCGACCCTGGAGCCCTCAGGCTTCGCTTGGCCACTTAGAGCCTATGTATGCAAATTAGTCTCCAACTATGTTGGGTTAATTTCCATACTCTCCTGATTGGCTTGTTAGCGTAGCGAAGGTTGATCAATTTACATGTTTGCCTATTATTTGGTAGTATATGTTAGTGTTGTATAGAATTTTTAAATTCCCTCCAGAAGTATATTCATTAAGGATTATTTATAGATTAGATCTAATGAGAAGGTATAATAAGGAGAAAGTTTTGGAGCTCGAAAAAGTTTTTTCCGTTCCATTGTTAATCTGTTTAGTCAGTATTCTTGTTGGATGGTTTCTGTTCATATATCAGTTCATTGTTTTATTTCATGCCCTTTTTTGCCTCTGAGAGTATTCTTCTTAGAAACCCTTCAATGATCTTAGAGGGGCTGTCCTTTCCATGAGAAGCTATTTTTTTATGTGCTTTTAGAATAATATTCTGGAATTCCTGATATTTTCATTGTTTTTTAATCTGTTCTCATGTTTATATTCATTCTACTTAGAATTCAGTAAGCTTCTTGCATTTGTATGTCTCTTTCTCCAGTTGTCAGGATCTTAAACGATTAATTTTTTATATAAGCTACCTTATCCTTTTCACTATCCTGTCCTTATGGTGTCCTCTTGGAGTTCAGTTTTTTAGTGTATTAGGAGTTTCTTATATTTTCCATATTTCCACATATTTATGGGCTTCTCGGAATCTAAATTTTAATGATTTATGTACAAATTCTTTGATTATTTAATTATTATTTTTTAAATGAATCTTTATTGTTTACAGAGAGGAAGGGAAAGGGAGAGAGAGCTATAGAAACATCAATGAAGAAAGACAATCATTGATTGGCTGCCTCCAGCATGGTTGGATATGGAGCCTTCAACCCAGATGTGGAACCAAACTGTGACCACCTGGATCATAGATTGAAGCTCAATAACAAGCCACAGCTTCCAGGCAAATTCTTTTTTTTTTTTCTCTCCTTTAAAAAAAATTTTTTTTAATCTTCATTGTTGAGATTATTACAGATATCCGTTTTTTTTTCCTCCCCCATTGCTCCCTTCCACCCGGTTCCCACCCCACCCCTGGCCCTCACAACCCTATTGTACATGTCCATAGGTACTGCATACATGCA